CCGCAGTCGTTCGTTCACCTGGGATCTAGCTTGCCGGTAGTATTTCTGGACTTGGTATCGCCATCGCATTGGATCTCGGTTTCTCTTCTTGGTACTGCATACTGGAATGGCCGCTTCTAGGGTGGATTTGGGATCCCACCCAGCTTGATCGATACCGAAGGAGAATTTTTAGCTAGTGTCAATAGACCCATATTACATTTAATTTTTTTTTTTTTTTTACTATCAAATTAAAATATGACCCCGTGCCTTATAAAACGGTTAAATCAGAGTTTTTGTTGACCCCTTTTTAGCCTGGTGACGGGTTTATGTCAGGCCCACTTCAAAAACGAGCCAAAACCACAGATACATTTTTAGTCTGTCCCAATGAAAACGATCTTGAGGTTGGTAACATGCTATGTTTCGTATTCACCGTGGATTGGGACACATTTAAAAAAGCCAAAATAGCTCTACGCTTAAGGATATGGGGGTGTCAGGTCCCCCTTCCCAGCAATTCGCTTCGGATTTCCATTGTCTGTGTCAGTGGCGATGGCTAGTGACTATGGCATGCTTATAGCGCTTTGCCCGGCGACCCAGACGCACCACAAAATGGAAGTGGCTCTGCAAGATCTTAAGAGGAGAGTGAAAAGGGAGAAGCGCCGCTTCGAATGGCAGCGCCTAATTCGCATGCGCATTGCATTACTCTTCATTGTCTGAATGGTCCTCTCTACTCCGACTGGATGGTAGTCTGGAAACGCGGCATTGACGAGAGCATGATAAACATAAGTCTTTCAACGTCGAGCATGCTAGGCAATTATATCTTTAAACAGTTCCAGGTGCTGGGTTTGCTCATGGGAGTTTGCGTGGGGTGCATGACTAGATCCGATCTGTATTTATTGTTTGGGCTCCTCGCCAAAGGAAACAGTGATTTTCCCCCGGGATAGACGCGCAAGTCGAAGGTGTAACGATGAGTCCCAGCGCGTTGGTGTCGTGTCCGTCGGACTCATTACACTGTGCGAATCAGGAGGGCACCGTTCTTGGATCCAATGGGCAGAGCAAAACTCTCGCCTGATGGGCCGTTGTGGGGCTCACGTCGCAGTCGTACCTGTCAATACGATGGAAGCTGGTGACGGAGGCTCCGACCAGTGTTGGCACCGTGGCCTTTATGTTTCGGTCAATCGCTGGCCGGAACGTGGTTTTGCCAGGAAGTTTCGGCCATTCGGCCACGGAAAGGCCAAATGAGTTTCGGTCGAATCGCCCCCAGCCTCACATTAAGTTTTGACTCCGATAAGCGAGAGAGAGCGATAAGTGCGTCGTTACCATTGCTGGTGGTGGCCGTCCAGCGTCTCGAGAGGACAGGCATTTCACACACCTCAAAGAACTCGGTGAGGTAGGAGGGGGCTACTCGTTTCGGGAGTGCAGCATCTGCAGAGCTGCGCTCAACAACAACGTAACGACCACCTCGCCGAAGGCGATCATTGGCAGAGCGATCAACTTTGTCAGTTACCTAGCTAAATGCGAGTATTACCAGGCCGCTCAGCTGGGAAGCGTCTTCAAGCTCATCGCCAGCGCCGGAAACGCCGCCGAGAGCACAAAACTCGAGTCCTACGTCGTCGTTAGAAGCGACACCTGCGCCGATTAGACAACCCTTGTGCTCAGGAACAAGTACGCTGCAACCGCCTGTACGAAGCAGTACAAGGATCGCAGGCCAATGACGTGAGCGCCGCACTCTGGTTCTTCTGCGGCTGAGCCCAAACTGGCCATATTCAAGTCACAAGCGACGCAAGCCAACATCGACCAAGAAGTTGAAGAAGCAGCGGCGGAAGCTCACCAAGGGAGATGTCAAGAAGATTGATTGTTCACTCATTGAGCTACACGCTGATAACCATCTCCCCGACCGTTTCTTCGAACAGTCGTCAACGCTGCAATTCTTGGAGCTGCTATGTCTAGGAATAACGGACTATCTCCCTTCTCGGTGAACCGTAAGTAGCCGCATTTTGAAAGAGCACGCTAAGGGGGAGGTCGGAGTACAAAAAGAGCAAAAAAATTAAATAGCTTTCTTGGACCTGATTGGCCGACTGATTTTCGGTTATCTCTTTTAAAAAAAGACCACAGGTTGGTCTTTTAAAAAAAGAGATCACACATGAAGGGGAGGAAAAAATTGGCTGCGCTCTCCCTTGTATTTGCCGCAGTGGCTACTCTTGCCAGTGACAAGCGTCGATGGCCCAGGAAACCTTCCCGACGCTTCTCCGTACGGAACACAACATGGCAGTGAGTTCTAGATGACCCCATATTTGCAGACGGCTCGTTTCCAGTAAATTTTCGGTGCAATCGTGCAACTTTCCTGGCTATTGTATCCCGTATCGAGCAGAGATGGCCGAGCGTACGCCCAGCCCCTCGCCATAACGCACATTTTCCTATTAGAGATCGAGTGGCGGTGGCCTTTTATTATGTCACTCACGGCGGCAGTGCAAACGCGGCTGGACAGATTGTTGGCGCTGGCAAAACGCAAGCACTACTTTTTATTCGCCAAGTTGTTCATGTGGTGACATCGTTTTCGTCAGAGAATATTCGATTACCGTCCACGGACAAGGAGATAGCGGAGCTGATACAAGGGTTTCAAGATATGCTTGGTTACGCAGCCCCTTTTTATCAGCAAAAAACTCGACGAGCACTGACCAGTAGCTCGGATACTTCACCGCTTTTTCCAAGTTTCCCGTAGTAGCCTCGTCGGCGCGGATCTGGCCGAACAACGCCTTCATAGCATTGAATTTGCTACGTAACTGATCTACAACGGCCTTGGTTTCATGCTGCTTGTTAAAACGACGGACCACACGGCTCCACAGTACAGTCAGTAGCGCTCTGCTCTTGTGTTTGTTAAATTGATCACCGTACGCAATCAAACGGAGGTGGAGGAGAGTACGCAGACGAGAATCAGTCCACACCAAGCGAGGTGCCTTCTCAGTAAGAGCCTTGCCAAGAGGTTCAGCCGCAAAGTCTTCTTCTGGAGAGGGGGGATCGCCTCCATGAGCACCGTGTCCTCCTTCCATCGCGAATCGTTGAATGAGCTCAATTTACCGGTACATACCGATTTTGACATTAAATAAACAGGTATTTTACCTCGACCTAGATCAGCTGCAATGCTCTTTTTTATTTGCTCTTTTTGTACTCCGACCTCCCCCTAAGCACTGCAAATCGATGGACACATATGAGCTCAGGGCAATGGAGGAAAGAGCACAAGGATGGGTTAATCTACTCTCCGATGTCTGGCAGAATACTTCAAAGGATCATTTGTTAGGCTGCCAGCTCGCGCTATTTGAGGTACTTCTTACTTAAGCCCTTTTACACGCTGGTGATAGACATCACGGGATTGCTATTGCTGACCAATTGGTGCAAGTGTTACTTCAAGCGCAGCAAGAGAAATGGAAGGCTGGAGCGATTATTACCGACAATGCGGGACAGTGGGGTCGTGCACGTCGTATATTGTCGCTACAGTGGCCTCAAATTGTTTTTCTCTTCTGCTTCGCACATGCCGTGAAAATTCTCGTCAAAGCGGTTCTGCGATCTTCGTTTCGTGGTGCTCCTGCCAAAGTTGCAACTGCGGTCAATACCTTGAACACCTCGTCAAAACGGCTGCTACGCGCGAGAAAGGTGATGAAGAAATGTTATGGAAAGCCGCTAGGGTTGAGAACATTGTGTGAAACAAGATGGAATTCAACGCAGGGGTGTTTCGCGTCGCTACTACGTGTACAGTCAGCGCTTCAGATGTTTCATTGTCAGTACAAGAGATCAAGTGATTTTCCGTCGCAGCTTCATGTTCTTGGAGATCCGGCGTTCTGGGATGAGCTCAGAGAAGCAGAGGCGGTTTTTGCACCGCTATCTCTCGCTTCGTATCGCCTATAAAGAGACGAAGACACCGTTGATGACGTAGTTCGCTCATTTGGCGATATCTACAAGGGATTTCAGCAGCACCTTGTTCATCAAAAAAATGATAGAGTGCGTCGAAGATCGCTGGGAACAGTGCGAGCAACCCTTATTTATGCTTTGGTTTGCTTTGCATCCTGTATACGTGGAGTGTTCGAGAGAGCTACCGGAGACTGTGGTATCTGGAATCGGCACTCTTGCCAAAATTGCTGCTTATTTCTACAGACGGCTCTTTGGCACCGATGAAATTGGCCAACTTCGACGTGACATGCTCGCATGGATGCAGAGAAGGTTCACAAGGATGAAGCCAAGTGATTTCCTTGATCCACCCATGGAGGACTGGGAAGGCGTTGGGTTGGAAAAGCCAACGAGCCTGTTGCCGAAGCTCGCTATGAGAGTGCTCTCAATCGCAGTCAAAACTGCCACATGCGAGCGCTTGTTTAGTGAGCTTGGGCTCATTCACACGGCAAAACGCAATCGAATGGCGGCAAGTAAGGATCTCGACTTTCATATAGTAGCCAAACATGTCCGTCAACGCGCACAAAAATATGCTGCATCATTGTAGAATCCCAAGAAGAAGCTAATGATATCTCCAGAAGAGAGGCACATATTCCTAGATGCAGCAAATTATCCGAGCTTGTTCAGCCCGTCACCGCAACAGCATGGCGCGGTGAATGCCGACAAAGATAGGGACAGCGAAGACCCGGAGACGGTGTTGACGGCGATCCAACTTTGAATTTGTAAGGCGAATTCCTCGATGAAGGTTTTGAAGACGACGAAATTGGTGCCGGTTACGAGGAAGCAGATCGTACAAGCGTAAACACAAGCGTCAGGGTCTCAAGGGACATGCGAGAATTGAACGAAGTCGATCTGGACGAAATTAAAGAAATTTCGGAAGCTGTGGAGCAACCATTCATCGGTCATAGCGATTGAGCCTTCCCTCAAGAAGCCGTCAAACTGCGAGGATTTCGTGGACAGAAAGTGAAGCTAGCAGAGTTGTTTGGATAAAACGATGATAAACAGCCAAGTAGATTAGCTGCATCTATTGAATGTTTATTTGATCATTCAACTGAAAACAATAGTGTAATCAACAAACATTGCTTCAATGCAGACCACGCAGCTCATCAGCATTGTCTTGTGTGTTGACGTTCCAACTCGTCCTCTCCTCGGCCTTCGTGAAGCCTATCGGGACATCTATGCGTGACCAAATCATCTAATCCCTTAGCGTTTTCAGTGAATGCCTCACTTGATCAATTTCACTCTTCACCTTCAGGCCCTCCAACACATCCGTCGTTCTCCTCCATCATGTCCTTTAGGCTCGGTAGCTTGCACGTCGTTTTGACCAGCATCAGCATTTGAACGGCACCACGCTTGCCACCAGCTTGAACAGCAGAGTGTCAGCGTCAGCTTGGCCAGCAGTAGCACTGTGACGGAGACTACAAACGTCATCTTGGCCAACATCAGCACTGAGACGGCAACCACGATCGCCACGATCTCGACCGGCAGCGTTACGACGTCATCGATCGTCACCTTGGTCTACAGCAGCACTGTGACGGCGACTACGCACGCCATGCTGGACAACATCAGCACTGGAGCAGCAACCACGGTCGCCACGACCTTGATGTGTAGTACGTCGGCTAATACGAAGGTCGGTTTGAGTAGTAGCAGCGCTGGCGGAGACGCATGGCAGGAGCAGTATCAATACGGACGGCAATACGCACGTTATCTTAGACAACTTTAGCTCTGGGTCAGCAACCACACTCGCCGCGACATGGACCGGCAGCATGATAGCGAATACGCGCGTAGGTTTAAGCACCATAAACCGGTGACGGCAACTACGCACGTCTTCTCAGACAACGACAGCATTGTGACGGCGGCCATGCTCGCAACGAGCTTGCCCTTCATCATGACGGCGACAGCGCATGTGGTCTTGGACAAAAGCAGCGACAGCACGTTGTCTTAGTATGTGTAGGCACTGGCTGTGGCTTGTTCCTGTACCGGCACACATCGCAGCCTTCTTCAGAAGTTCAGGAGGTTCATTCTTCTTTAAACTTCTACTATTTGCAAATGTTGTGGCAATTAACAGATTTTTAGATAAAACGTGTTGTTTTAGTTCTGGCCGTTATTGGCAATAAAATACATATTTCGCCTTTTCAGTCGTCATGGACTTTTTATCGTTGGCCGAAACATGGGGACTTTACCAACACTGCTCCGACTGCGATGCTGTTGTTGCCGCAGAGCGACCGGGCTAAGTAGTGGACAGAACGCAGCGCCGGTAGAAGAACAGGCTCTTCAATGATCAGCATCCCTTGGTGGCAGCTTCTCCGTCGATCGCAGAGCTCGCATCCTGCCTACACTTGCGCTTCTTCGACGAGAGATGAGGCGGTCTGCTTGCCGGAACATTCACATACATGGGTTGAGAGTATTAATAGTATATGTGGCACTCAAACAGGAAAGGAGCTCGCACATGACGCTCTGCTCGTTGCTCTTTGTTGTAGTATGGCTGGGGTCCATTTTGAAGTCCTCACACGTGTGTGGTCCACGATTGAGTTAGATTCCTTTTGCAGGCTGATACGGACTTCTCGTGAGATGAACATAGCATGTGAACGTACGTGAGGTTTCTCGCCGATTATTCATCTCACTTGGGCCTTCTATTTGAAAATGAATAGCCCGGAGCGCCGGAGATTTCGCGGGCTTTCGCACTCAACCCTGTTGAAGTTTGGCAAAATCCTTAATTTAAAAAAAACTCTTTTCACTAAGGGGTCCTGTTTAGTAACATAGTTAAACGCGTTTGTATTTAAATCAGTTGTCAGATAAGGGTGCTTGATAAAGGTTTTGACGAGACGTCTTCCAAACAGCACCCTTTTTTTGTGACTTTTTAATCATCTTTAATTCACCCTAACCCCATTGATTAAACTTTTTATGAAAGTTTTGTTGGAAGGCACCAAGTGGCTCTCATTTAAAGTCTTTGAAGACCATATTTTCTACCTTTTTTGGGAGGGGTTAAGTAATGAAATAAAATGAACGCGTTTCACAGTCTAAGCAAATACATATTTACTTTTTCTTAGTTTCACAATGGGAACAAAGGTTGTCGTGGGTGACCTCCTCGGTGTGAAATGTTAAGAACGGGGGAGGGTTCTACCAAGAAGTCAAAGAGAAGCTACCGAGCCATACAACCGATAAAAAATCTAGCACACTGCACGATGAATCATATCGATTGAAGAGAAGACTTCTTGGCTTAGGCGCGGCACAAAGTGCTCTGCACGCTAAAAAATGTACCTCTAAGCGCTGCACCGCATCCGGTGAAAAATATACGACTCGCTAAAAGAAGCTCACATGTCAAAAAGTTGATTCCACTCTATTACTGAGTCAAGGGACGCACGCACAATAGTTGATGAAGCACTACCGCCCAGTTGAAGCTAAACTGGCACGAGAGATTTAGTAGTATATGGACACTAAATTATACGACACTCCGTCTATGATGGCGCAATTAGTGTCTTCGTATGCGTGTCGAGGGATATGGGAGCGACGCATGCCGAGCCAGTACCAGGGCTTGAAAAGACGCAGAACTGTGTGACGGAATGGCTGCTGTTCTGGGGATTTGCAGGCTGCGAAAGTATGCTTTGGCGAATACGGACTGAGATCGTAACGACTTGCTCGTTTATGGGCTTCGACCACAAAACAGTGGGTCGAGCCCTGCTAAGAGCGGGTTCTGAAGGCAACCCATTTCGGATTAGATTGGCATGCTTTCAATATTAGAGCGAGGTTGAAGTTCAACAAAATCCTGAAATGATCACTGTGGTGCATCTGGATAGTAGACAAAGTAGAAGTACCCTGTATTTGTGATTGGCAGTTCGGATCGCAGCGGTGAATTCTCGCCAATTGTATACTGTTGTGTTTATCAACACCGCGAAGAAGACATATCTTGGTGTGTCTCTTTCTCAAGCGTGTGGTTTAAAACGAAATTCGTGTAGAATTTAAGACCGATATTGTGATGATGGACGCAGACTGTGGTGAGTTCAATGCATCGGTCGCATATATCCCAGTTAGTACTTTTCTGATGTGCTGGTCTCACGCCATGCAGAATTTGAACAGATATTGCTGCGATGCAAAGTTGGATTTGGTGTAGAAGCACCTGATTCTTCGTAATTTGTACGATTTACATTTGGGACCGGTTCTTGCGCAAACTTGCTTTCGTTATCGCTTCTTGGAAAGGAGCTGCTGCATTGTGTGTCCGATTTGCTGGGGTTGCTGACTACGTAACAAAAATTGGGTTTTAATCCTAGATGTTCTCGGTGGCAAGTGTACCACATATCAGCCGAGCTTGAAACCTAACACTACACTCTCAAACTAGGTAACAGCAGCCAACAGGCTACACCTTTTGAATTAGTGGCTCGGTCGGATCTTTCGCGGATGGCATACGAAACATCAACACCCCGTTTGCTACCGAAGCCAAGGTTTCTAACCGGCATATCGGAGAGCTAGAAAATAAGTATTTATCCGCTACTCTTACCCAGAGATTTTAAAGTCATTTGCTGCTGCTTATCCGTGTGTTTCATGGATCCGGTGCTTCAACTGAGCAAACGGTTTCAAAAGATACTGAGAAAGGTGACTTTGTGCATCGCGGGTCGGTTGTGTAAATCTGCTAACTATGTTAGGATAATGTGCCAAGGCATGCCGAGTGGCGGTTTGATAGTGGACGCTATTGACAGGTCTTGCATGTGCCCAGTGTGGTTGAAGCATGGAATCAAACTGTTTCTATGCTATCAAAGCGACTCAGCATGTGAAGCTGCTATACCCTGGCATCCCTGGCCAAATTTAAGATTTGTTTTCGCGGAGTTAAACGGACGTGATCGCGCGGATCGAAAGCTCGTGAGAGACAGGGCCAAAATCCCACCGTAGAAGAGCCTGTACACGCTGATGCAATTCGATTTGGACCGCAGACACTACAAGAACACCGCAAACGACGGCTCACGGCAAATGCATATAACGCTGTAATTCTGGATCTATCCGAAACAGATCTAAACATATGATGGAACCCGACTGTGACTGAATGCAGATTCGCCAGCTCACCAGAAGTATGAGCTGGTGTTCGACAGGTGGAGCAACACTATCCAGGCGATGTGCACCTGCCAGCTGACCCGGTGGTTGTAGGCCACACCCTCTACGTGCGGTGGTGTCGTCGGGAATGGGCCCAGGTGCATTGCGGGCGGATTAATGCTCCTCTGCAGCAATTACACCACGAGGATTAAGGGGGGGGACTACTGGACCTGAGCTGCTAGAAGGTGTAGAAGATGACACCGTAAACGTGCGTCGTTCAGGAACATGAAGGTCACTGACACAACGCGTGCGGGAGTCCTACGCGCTTAGTAAACGCCACCAGGCATAGGAGGAGAATATTTAAACTTTGTGACCAGAGTACGTAACACATCGTTGTAGGTACT